GCCTCCCCCTCTTTCCTCTTGTTTCCTCACAGATGTCACTGTCTTTAGTTGCAAAGGCTCGTGGGGCAAGGGCCAAGCTCATGGGGTGCTGGGGGTGCTCAGGGCTTCCCCACAGTCCAGCCCGTGGCCAGTTCTGCTGGCTGGGCAGAGGAGTGAAGGCAGCAGAGGGGAGAGGGAGGGAGCGTTCCCAGTCCCTGCTCTGGATCCAGAGCTGGAAGGGGCAGCGTGTGTCCCAGGCAGGCGGGACTCCGGGGAAGGAATCAGCGCTGGGCAGAGTGACCGGAGCGAGCAGAGGATGCCCTGACACCTGAACTTTGTCAAACAGAAATACAGGCATGTTGACAACATCATGTTTGAGAACCACACCATTGCAGATCGATTCCTCGACTTCTGGCGGAAGACGGGGAACCAGCACCTGGGGTACCTGTACGGCCGGTACACGGAGCACAAGGACATCCCCCTGGGCATCCGGGCCGAGGTGGCTGCCATCTATGAACCCCCCCAGGTAAAAGCAGGGTGCTGGGGCATTCCCAGGCATCAGCAGGGAACACGGGAATACTTGTTGTGTTTGGGAATCCTCACACAGTTACTTCCGACTGCAGCTCCATAAGGAAAACAGCCCTGGGAAAAAGATGTTGGGATTTTATATCTCGAACGTCACTGTTGGTTATTGCCACTGAAAGTGATACTTTTATACTTTATTTTACATTACTCTTTGCTTGGATTATTGAGAATGGTGAGAACCTGGCCCAGGTTGCCCAGGGAAGCTGTGGCTGCCCCATCCCTGGCAGTGTTGAAGGGCAGGTTGGATGGGGCTTGGAGCAACCTGGGCTGGTGGGAGGTGTCCCTACCCATGGCAGGGGGTTGGCACTAAACGACCTTTGAAGGTCTCTTCCAACCCAAACCATTCCATGAATCTATGACTGAAAGCTAGGGTGACTTTGAAGCCGTTTCCCTGTTTCCTTGATTACTGGAATTCCCAGGTTATGGTGTGGAAAACAAATAGGGAAAAAGAAAAAAAGTTGCAGCCCATGCTTCGATTCCTTATCAGCTCTCTGGGAAAATTCCAGCAGCTGAATTGAGACAGAGATGAAGCTGCTGCGTGGCTGGAGAGGCAGAGGAGGAGGTTTGAGGAGCAGCCCGGAGTCCCCCCACTAGGTGGGGCCCAGCACCGCGCTCAGCGCCCGGCGGGGCCGCCCAGCCCCGCCTGCCGGGGAGCCCGCGGGCTGGGTTTGGTGTCGGAGAGCTGAGAATGGAGATGGAAAAGCCACTCTGCCCACAACACAAGGCTCGGCTTGAAGCTGAGTTTGCCTCTTGGCTTCTGCACCGCTGATCAAAGTCAGTTTTCTGAGTGCAGACACGATGTGTACAAACATACCACGGTGGGTCATGTGTGTTCACCCTCCTGATGGTTTCTGTAGGGTTGCTAGAGTAAAACACAACAGAGATGTCAGTGGAAAAGGACAGCTGGATCTTTGGAGTGTGTGAGTGATAGAACAGAATTGCAAACCTTTTATAAATCCTCCCCTTTCTTCCCAGCAGGAGCAGAGCTGTGCCTGCTGCTGTGCAGTGGGGCTGCTCATGTGCTTCTGGTTGGGCACAGTGAAAGCCAGGAAGCTTTTGCTGTCCTGGCAGGGAATCTGCTGTGCTTCTGGACACAGCATCTCCCCACACGAGGAAGCTTGGCCTCTGGAATGCACCCAGATGGAGTTGTGTTTTCCAGAGTGTGGGGGGAAGGCCTGGGCGTGGGCTCTTGGATTCCCTGTATTTCTGCATCTCAGAGATTCAAACCAAAAAAACACCAGTACAGAGCTGGCAGGTTGAACCCAGAGCTCTGGAAAAATTAGATCATCTCTTTCCTTTTCCAAAGTGCTGGGGAACAGCAATGGCCTGTTTGTAAATGCGGAGTCTTTCATTCATAAACCCCAACATAGTTTGCAGACTGTCCTGACGAGCTCCAGCAGGATGGGCCTGGGAGGAGAGGAGGTCTCCAGAGTGACACTGGTCAGTGGGGAAACCCAGAGCTCTGCTGCCACCCTCTGCCCTGACAATGGCTCAGTGTACCACGGCTTCTCCTACTTTGTCTTTTAGCAAGTGTTTCTTTGCTGCAGATTGGTACACAGAACAGCCTGGAGATCCTGGAAGACCCAAAAGCTGAGGTTGTGGATGAGATCGCCGCAAAGCTGGGACTGAGAAAGGTCAGGATGTTGTTTGATCTTGTGTATCTTTGTGTGGCAGTGGAGAAAGTCCCCAGCAGTTCTCCTCAGCTCCAGGGGATTACTCAGGACCATTTGGGCACACCCGAAATCTCACTTCAGTGTGGGTAGCTCATGATGCTTCTCGGTATGAGAAACAAAACAAGCATTTTTCTGAGCACGAGTGTCTGGCAGGGCTGTGCTGCTGCAGTCAGCCCTCCTCTGTCATGAATTACTTCAAAGGGAGTAGCAAAGGAGCAGAAACACAATTTTCTCTTTTTTTTCTGCTCAGATAGGAGCATCTCCCTGGTGAGTGCTAATTTGGCACACATGTAGCTGGGGTTGCCTTCCAAGTTTGTTCTTCCTTTTGACAGAATTGGTGCTCCACTTCCAGGAGCAGAGGCTCCTGCTTGCTTGGGTTTTGTTGTTTGGTTTGGTTTTTTATTCTCCTCTGTGGGCTCCTGTATGTTGGTGCTGCTCAGGCAGGTTGGAAGGGGTTAATCTGTAGGTGGGTGTAGAGGTGCAGGTCCCCCAGCAGCTGAGCCTCCCTCCTCTGTTCCCCTCACAGCCTGGCTGGTGGGACCCACTGGTTTGCTGACTCCTCTCAAACCTGTACTGATATTTTCTGGTTTGGGAAATCTCTTGGTATGGTGTGAATGCCAGGAATGAGATGTACACAAACAAGATTTGACTTGCTAAAGAAAACACAAATCAGAAGAGGCTCAGTACAGCAGACTGTAAACATCTGTGGTGAGGTCTTTTGTTCTCTGAAGATAAGATCTTCAGCCTTTTGCCAGTGTCTGAGGCAAAGCTTCTGTGTGTGTGTTACTTATTTCCCTGCTTTTCCTTTGCTCCTCACATCAGGTATTTTTAATCAATATGACTTAACACGTCACTTGCTGCTCGTTGCAAGAGTTTTTCCTGCCTGGGAATCTGAGTCAGCAGTTCCTCCTCCTCCGAAGGGTTAAAGCTGTGGGAGCTGTTTCCAGCACGTGTGCAGGGCTCAGGCAGTGGGGTGTGTGTGTGTGTGTGTGTGTGTGT